CCTTTGCAATGGCAATCAACCGTTCCGCAGTGCCCAACACAATCCACTCATAGTCCAACCTGCCCTTCAGAAAGAGCCAGATGAGGTAGTAGATGAGCGTGGTCTTTCCTATGCCGGGTGTGCCACTGACTACACACCGTGCTCCTTTATCCATCTTCCATTCCCCCAGAAACTGCAGGAACTTCAAGTAACATTCTCGCTCAGCGATGACCGGACTCTTCCAAGGCAGGAATTCTGCACTGACGCTCTCGTTGCGGTTTGCCAAATAAGTGAGCCCGGCTTCTTTGCTCTCCTGCTCACTGCTCATCGAAGCACCTTGTAGCCAGTCAATGAACTCCGGCTTGACGAAGCCCTTACGTGAAGCAAGCAAGCCCCAAACCGATTAAGGAAACTAGCAACCCCCAATTACTATACAACCCAACAAGCAAAAGGTTAAAGCGACACAAGAGTAGGAATAGTTCTTAACTGCAGGTGGGGCGCATCTAATGGTGCAGGATTGGCATGGACCGTATATGTCCGGTCGTTTGCTACGTTGCCATAGGATGGAACAACTGCATCACCATCTGCATCACTCAGCGTAATACCGTCAGGTGATGAGAAGCCAAATTTGCGAGCAACCAGCTTCAGTGAGTCCTCAGCAGAAACGTCCCCGCTTATTTTTAAGCCTTGCTCCTGATCTCCGTATCTCACCTTGATGCGCTTGGGCTTTGGCTCGGTCATGGCATCATCTGACATTGCTCCTAGCAGTTTCCTTTTGAACCTGCAGAAGCACCCGCAGTTTCAAAACCGACACCAGCACAAAACAACCAAACCTAAACATCCCTGATCCTTCGATCAAGATCACAAAAACCCACCTAACCCACGCATTTTGAACGAACCCCACCTTGCTTTCAAGCCCCGAACCACCCAAAACCCCATAAATTCTATCAACCTGGGCTCGCCCATTGGGAAGTTAACTACCTTAGGAGGAATAGGGATAAGATATATGACTAGATATATGCTATGTTGGGGTGTGGGGGTCGCTAACTTCCCGACGGGCATGGCTATTTCTAACTCAATTCCCACCCAAAAGCCTAAACCCCATATCATATAATCCCCTACCGATGGCCGTCCCTGTGTTATCTCTTGTGGTGGTTTCCCAGAATTTGGGGTACCATTTTGCGGGTCCCTAGAAGAAAGAGTTTGGGGTCTATATTGGGTCTACCTAGTTTGGGAAATTCCCTTATAATGGTTCCTATAGCCCATTCCCTCACTCCGCGGGTAACCCCAGGTGAGCCAAGAAGACACACCCTCCTTGTGGCCCTTTTTCTTCACGCATAGGCGCGCTCAGGTGGTTGGAGTATGGGGCAACGCACAACCGTAATGCTGTCAAATGTATGATGACATTTCCAGAATGAACAGGTGGTGAGTTTTGTGCAGTTGAGTTGTTATAGAACTCAAAGACTTGGCAGGACACTGCTTCAGGCGCACCTCAATATCATGCAAACGAACAGGGCGGGCCAAATCTGGCAGAAAGAATTCAACCCTTAACCCTAACTCATATACAGTAGTTTCCGTGTTCCTTTCCATTATCCCCAAGATATCCTAAATATGCCCCTGTATTATACCCTATGATATAGTAGTTTCCATTTGATTTTCCATCACCCCATGTATGACCCTTACCCTGAATGGTATACACTGGACCGAGAAGTCGGTTCTGCTTCGGGATCCGCTACTGCCGCTACTGCTTCAGCTAGCTTGTTGTTAAGGAACTTAAATGTTTTTCCTCATAATATAAGTTACCATAATATGAGCAGATAAGATTTTAGGCTTTAGGGTTTAAATTGCCATACTGCGGTTGAGTTTGCTTGTTATAGTAGCTAATTTAAATTTCTTAACAGTAAGTCGGCCAGGATCCTATACTCGGCGGGTTCATGTGTACTATAGTCTAAACTCCTTAAAGGGGGCTTATACAGAGGATTACGTAGGGGAGTATAGAAGGGTTACGAAGCGGATACAAGGAGTTTGGACTGTAGCTCATGCGGTAGTTTCCATATAGACCCAAAGATACCAGCATCCTTCTTGATAGGGACCCCTTAAAAAGTAGATACATTTTTTGGGAACCCTAAACCCTATATATAAGTATATGTATATGCCTACATCTCCGTATATAAGCCCTACATTCCCTAAAATCCCTTTACATGGACCTCTAATTTTGGGAAACACTCGTGTGAGCTACAATCAATATTACCCAGATGATGAAACCCGAAACCCTAAATCATGTAGTAGTTTCCATTCTCTTTCCTATTCCCTATATACCCCCATACACCCCTACTCTAGGCCCCTATATACCCCTAACCCTAAACCCTAAACCCTCAACCCCCAAACCCTAAACCCTCAACCCCCGGACCCTAAACCCACAGTAGCTCATGTCAACCCTTGTGATCTTCTCACCGAGGATTTGCCTGAATGCAGCCCTTGGCTCAGGTGCCAGGACCAGACAATAAGAAGCCACCAGGTTGATCGGATTTAGGATTGGGGCTTAAGGTTTAGGGTTTAAGGTTTAGTACCATTACTTAAGGTTTGTGGCACGGGGTCATTTTGCGCTTAAAACTTTGAACATTTGAACGTTTGAGACTAAGGAAATTTGAGAACCCTAAGTAATGGCAAGTTTATATGGGCTTGAGGGTTTAGGGCTCAAGGTTTACGGCTTGAGGTTTAGGCGTTGTCAGAAGTATGGTCCCGTTTTGGGCCCTATACCACGGCACCTACTATTTAGGGTACCACGAAAAGGAGTATGATCTTAACAGCACTCAAGCAATTTGGAAGCGTAAGGGCAAGAGACCCAGCGCCTGTCAGTGAACTTCTGGTCTCTAGCTCCTCATACAAGCCTCTAGCTGAGAAATCTACTTTGTTGCTCTAGTGGATTCAGCAGCTGAACCAGCGGAAGCCGCAGTAGTCTGCCCTTCGAGTGTTCTACTCTCCTTGACTATTAGAATTCTGAAGTCTGGTCATAACTGCTGATAAGAAGACCCTGGCAATACTTGCCATTGTCATATTGTAGCTCGCCAATAGGATCTTGATTAGCAGTACTGCCCGCTTGACACTTTATGCAACTTGCCAGACGAGACGAGACCAGCATAATGGACACGAATGACACTTATTGCTACTGCAACCCATCGACCATGCTCATTGCCCAGTAACCTGGCAGTCTGGTGACGGCTAGGCGGCTACGTGCATCATTATCTGCGGGAGTAGGCGGTAGGATAGCCTCCCATTCATGTCGCATTGAAAGCAGGAGGGGGTCTTTCATGCTACACACAAGTTATGTCAGACTCTATGCCTCAGACTGACATGCTTCTTAAAAGCGTTGCAGGGACATTGGAGCTATAGTCTGAACTCCCAGCATCCCCCTTAATTTGTCCTAGAAGAATACCCTATACCATCCCCTCTACAAACCCCTTTAAGGAATTTGGAATAGGGCTCATTTGAGGAATCACAAAGTGTTTTGACAATGCTGCGAGGGAGTTGGAAGCATGTCACATCAAAGTGTCTTCTCTGTTTGATTACTGAAAGGAAGGCTGCACATGACATGACAAACACAGCTGAAACAAAATCATCTGCCGCTGCCGCGGCCGCTGCGATCATGGTGATGGTGGCGATGGTTACGATCATGACTATGCAGTGGTGATCGTGGCATGAGCACTTTTGACCTTTTGGTGCGCGAGCCAGGGAGTGACAACCATAGAGCTCACGGCTTTGGATCTCTTCCTTGAATCTATGGTTGCAAAAGTACCGTGTTGAAACAGAGCTTTACAGATTTTGCGGGTTTTGGTTTTGGCATAGGTTGCATTCGGAAAGGGATTGAATTTTGCCGCGTTCACTTGGATTCGCTGCTGAACAGATGGGATTTTGACACATGGATTTTTGACATGTCTGATCTTCTTGGTCCGTTTGGCCCTCATGAGGCCTATCAGCATCCAAGTTGATCCAAGTGCCCAAATATCGGTTTTCAGTCCCAATATACCATTGAGAGTATGTATAATACGTGATATCTTAAGCCCCAACACTTGGGTACCTAGATCCTCAGGGTTTACTGTACCCAAGCCTTTGCCCGTCATGCAGACAAGCTGGCGGCGGGCCTCTGCCCGCATTGCCGCCTGCACCCCCACCACCTCCGCTGTAGCCTCCTGCCCATATTCAGGCTATTTGTGGGGAATTGACACTTAAAACTGGAATCTCAAAGACTGCAAGCAGTTTGGTGCTGGGTTCTGGAGCTTTCCCCTAGGTCTTCTTGAGGATGGCACTTGTAGCGAGCAACGAGCCCATGATGTCATCATGCTGTGGCACAAGCAAGCATGCTGTGGTACCAGGCTAGGAAGAATGACAGTAGTCGCTACTGTCATGTTTCCGAACAGAAGCAGTACGTAGTAACACGAGCTGACGAGCTGGTAGTAGCCTGGTAGTAGAGGTTGTGATGGTCGTGGGAAGAGCTGAAAAACGCTGTTAGCGCGGCCTCGTTGCTGGTAGCGCTGCCCATGTTGGCCGCCGCCTTTCGCTTGAGCGCGTGACCAGGTACGATGCTCAACGATATCATCACCTGGGTATCCCAAAAATATGGCATCATTATGGGTATCCTCGTGCTGCACTTACTATAGTTTCAAATGCATGTTGGCGATCCTTTTCGGCAAAGACCTGGGAGGCTTCACTCGGAGGCCCAGAGTTGATCATGGTTGGTTGTAGGTGTGAGGTTACAGCTGTAACTATATCCTTTTTGTTTACTTGTGACCCTACCTGTGTCCTGGACCTGCAAGTAAGCCGCAACCCGCAACACCACGACTCAGCCAACCACTGCCTCCGCCGTAGGACGTGGGTCCAGGAGCGGGTGCACCGCCGCCGTAGGATGCCCTGAACGCTGAAAACGTTGAAGCTTGAGGACTTGTGGAATTTCAGGTTGAGGGTCGAAGGGATAGGCTAGTGAGGGATGAGCCATTCATGCTTGCACAGCGTTACATGAGCAGCGCCAAAAAACCTAGAGGCCAGCCTTCTACCCAAGTTAAACACGTGATCAAGTTGTCTTACTCTTGTTGTTTGCTCGTCAGATAACGCAAGCTACTGCGTTTTCGCTGTGTTTATTATTCTCGCGTTTTCATGATCTGCACACGCCGATAAAATGTGTCCGTTTTATATGAACCGTAGAGACCCGGGTGTATGTCTCAGCTCTCATTATCTTCAGGACCTGATACATATAAAAAATCCCGCGATAGGTTGCCTACCTTCCCAAAATCATCTAGTTCTTCCATTCTATCATTCCGGGAAACTCAAAGATCAGGATAGGAAAGGGCCTCGGCCATTTGCCTCCTTCCAGCTTTTGAAGCTTGAAACTATTGTTGACATGTATTGTTGTTGTAGGAAATAATAGGAATCCGATCACGAGAATGCTTAATTACTCTTCCAACTCAGTGGGAGCCCCTGTATGCGAGCCAGTCCTCTGCGATTTTGCGGCCGAGTAGTGGCCGCCGCCGGTCTCGTTATACGGCCGCTTCTGCCTCAGTCTCTGCATGGCCATGACTTCCCGAACTCTATGGACTACTTACTAGGGGAGAATCCAGCAGGTATGTCGGGGCTATGCAAGGATACTGCCGCGTGTACATTCTATATTAAGGAATGCATTTCATCAATCTTTTGCATCTCTGTAATGTTCTAATTTAGCGTTTTCCTACATGTAGGCCACAAGCCAGGAGAGATATTCTGCAACGAAGTCCCCAAGATCTCAAAATCCAGGCGCCTAGACCCGCCTGCTCAACGACACCCCTTCTGTACACCCTATCACTGTCCCCATAATCATGAAACAGCCAACCCGTCAACAGAAAAAGGATTCCCATTGACACATTTTGGGAATTTGTGTCATTGTGGCGCGGGTGTCATAAACGGAGGTGATCAAACACTAACCCTAAACCTAAACCCTGAGCCCTAAACCCTAAAATCTGAACCCTGAGCCACAAACCCGAAGACCTGAACTCCAAACCCTAAGACCTGAACCCCAAACCCCAAAACCTGAACCCTAAACCCCAAATCCTCAAGGCTGGGCATCCGTGCGCGTAGGTCGTCTGCCCTTGGGCAGGGGCACCTCCGCGAGCGCCACCTGTAACCAGAATTTCTGGGAAATTACCTAGAATAATAATGATCGTGTTGTTTATAGTATATAACAATATATTAGAGTATGTTGCAATTTGTCATGGTATATTCTAATATATTTTTCGTACATTATAGTGTATTGTAATGTATTATAGTATATTAGTTGTCCACTGGCGAATCTAAGCTGTGCAGGTTTTCCTCCATCCACCGTGGAGGGCTGTGAATGAATATCAACATCATGTCGAGGTCTATGTGCGCCCTATATATAACATAAGTATACAAAGCATCTAGTGCCACAATCTTGTTAACTAATTCACAGCCATTAGTATAGGGAGGAGCTCGGGACCTTGAACTTGCAGAACAATGAGGAACTCATGCCCAACCATCAGGCCTTCGTTTAGAGAGAAGGGACTGCACAGGGACCTTATAGGGTTCAAAGTAACCCCCATAATGACAAGGATACCCTTTTTCCTAATTTTCAGCTTTTAATCAGGAGACCCCAACATGAAAACGAAGAAAGGGTACTACCGGGGTACCTAGTAAGGCTTCAAGGTAGATGCTTTGATGCTATCTGCACTGCACCTGACTTGCTTGTGCCTAAGAGGGTGGAGTCGAGGAATGAATGCATGGATTATTGTGCAAGGCTGTGAGGATTGCTATAGGGATCCACACTCCCACCTTTCCTTAAGCTAAGCGCAGAAGGATGGAGGCACCCTGTGGTCCAGGGCACTTATGACCTGGCAACTGGGTTAGCGCCCGGACGCCTGTGCAGAGGGCCACACCTAAGATTCACGTGTAGTCAGTCTCCAAGGCAACATCCTACGCACTGCGCAGAGTGTGCGCCTAAGCATCTGCATCTACCCAAGCCTGCAGTATACTAACTATCATATACTATAGTATACCATAGTCTACTATAAAATACTATGGTATACTATAGCTGAACCCCAAATTCCGCAAGGCCTGAATAGCCGTAAGGCTGGCGTCCTTGCCTGGAAGCAAAGCGGGTGCAGTTTGCTTCAAGCTGCTCATGTGACTCACATGGAGGTTTCCCAAAATTGGGGGTACCATTTTGGGGGTCCCAGTAATAAGGATTATAATATTTTGGAGAGAAATAAGGGTTCCCCTATTTTGGGAAACTACCACATTGCGCTACTGCCGTCTGACATTTTTGATATCCTCCACGGTCGGCCAAACAAACGAGAGTTTACAAGCATGCTGCTAGCCTTGACTTGAACCCCCACGTTACATCGTCCTGCGTACTGGTGACAAAACCACCACCTTCTAAAATCTATTTCGGGATTCGAAGCCTGAGCAAGTCAACTCACGTCACGATGGGAATCAATGCGCTGGCATGACTCCCTGATGGCAGCAGTGAAAAGCAAGCCCTGTGCAAAGGATTCAATCCAGTCGATGCCTTTTAGGGTTTTGGGTTTTGGGTAAACAACGTTGTGAGCCCTGCAGGGTCTGGATTGCATGAGCATGCCCCGTACAAAGGAGCACGGATCGAAAAAGGGCTCGAAGATCCATACCCTGTGTGAATTGGGGTAAGGAACGAAGGTACCAGCGCAGCTTGTTTGCTCGATAGCAAACACTGTCAACACTGTAGTAGCGTTAGAGAACATCCTTCATTGTGATGCTGCTACAACACTGACTCTTGCTGGCTGTATACCATCCGTGTGATGCATAGCGTGATGGTGATTTGGGAGTCATATTCATCCATTTCTGGGGTTCTTGGAATATTGACTGTCTTGTTGGGGGAAGAGGACCGTATGTCCTCTACTAGAGCTTACAAATACAGTGGTGTCTCTCGACAGCTTGAACTGGGCGTCCCACGCTGTTGCTGCTGGCGGAGGCGGAGGCCCCCTGTTGTAGGCCTCACGGCTCTTGGCTTGGTGTAGCTGCTAAGCTTTCGGTCTAGGTCAGGTTGCTATGGCTTGGGAGTCGAAGAGTCAAGGGGTGAAGGGAGGCACCATATCTGGAAAGGTTTCAGTCCACCAGGACCTTCCTTGTACCCTTAATTGGGGTTATATGGTCCCTAATAGTGGGTACTTAAGCCCTAATAGAGGGTAGGAGGAGGGCCTAGGCACAGCACAGCCCTCATGTCTCACTTTGCAAGGTCCACTTCGCATTGCGCTCGGACCATTCGCACTGCTTTTCCTGAGTGCCCAACGCCCTTGCCGTAGTGGCCCTGGGAGACATGATGATGGAAACTATGCCAACAACTGCATCTGATTCACCGTAGCGTGTATGCACGCATGAAGAGGGAGACTTGGGTAGTACAACATCTGAGAAAAGCTGTTGAATACACAGGCAGCTGTCTCCTGGACAACTTGAACCAATACTTAGGACATGAATCCCATGCAGCTTCTCCCGCATGGGGTCAAGCCCCCTTTTTTGTAACCACGAAACCATGAGTATGAAATCAAACCCAAACAAAGGGTAGTCCTCAACTGCACAGCCAAGTTAAGTGAAACAATATCCTACTCTACCCGAGCTTTATAGGCACCACCTGCCCACACGTAAAACCCAAGAATGGAACCCCTGCATGGTTCTTGCTCAGTGCTCTGAACCCTAACCCTAAGGCTCTAAGGACTCATATAAATCTATAGATAGTACCTACATTTGGGCGCCAAAGTCTAAAAATAGTACCTACATGGGCCTTAAGGTAAGGCTCTAAGGACTCACATTTCACGGCTTTTGTGCCCCAAACCTATACCATAAAAGGCATTAGGGCTATTTTGAGTCTGAGCCCTGAACCTACCAAAACCCAAAGCCCTAAACCCCAAACCCTAGGACTGGGAGCCGAGCTCCCTTACCTTGGCCTCCACCATAGCCCGCTGCCACCTACAGTAGCAGAAGCAAAGTTCATGAAGTTTGGGGTTCAGGGTCTGGGGTTCAGGNNGTTCAGGGTTTGGGGTTTAAAGGGCCCTGGTTTGGGGTTGAGGCCTCTTCGGGATCTCCTTTCATCATGGCTTCACTAGGCTATAGGGGCCTTCCCACGATTGACTTGAGAGCTGACAAACGAAACTCACAAACAACTACAACAGAGTACGTGATGATATTCTGGAAAGACCACAGGACAAGGAAGATCAATTACCTAGACCCTCCTCCTACNNGTACAAGGAAGGTCCTGGTATACAGCCTGTTTGAAGGACCTGGCGCCTGAAATGGCGAACCATACAAAAATGTGTAGACTTGGCACAGTTTGCGCTGAGAAACACACGGGACTTGAACCTTGCGTGCGTTTCGCATGTGTATTGGTGGCTTCGAGCCACACTTCATACACAGCGTTGCTGGTTAGTCTGTAGATTCGAACGCTTAAGCAGGGCCAGCGTACCC